AGGTCGAGGTTGCGGTGGCCGGGAGCGGCCACTGCACTCCAGTCTGGGCGACAGAGTGAGACCCCGACTGAAAAAAAAACAATCACGGTTCTTTGCTCACTGTTTTATTTCCAGCACATGGACAGCACTCTAACATTCATTGAATTGTAGATGATTGAACAGGAGTCAACCCAGGAAGAGGGGTGGAGGGACAGAAATCCAGGCAAGCCCATAAGAAGGTAGAACCAGAAACTACGCGGTAAACCAATGACTGAATGTCCAGGTTCTCAAGCCAAAGTCATTTCTCCACGTTTCCTGGAAAATTTAAAACTCACAGCACCTGATTTTTCCAATTGGTCAGCAGTTTCCCTCCTGGCTTGGAGGGAGTGGGATGGAATTTTCCCCATTAAAGCAAGATTTAAGGAATTCTGTGCATTTTGATGACTCGAGCACCCATTCACACATGCCCCTGGGAACTGGCCATGATAATTTTTGTGCTGTGTTGTTCAAAAGCAAAGCTTTTATTTTCATCTCAACCACTCAAATAATACGTACTCATAGTAGGAAAAAAATAGAAATAAGCATTATAAAGAAAGCGAAGAGAGACACAATAATCTACTCCCCCTTTGACAACGTGTTCAGTTATTTTCTTTTGGTCTCTTATTTTCTAAGCGTATAGAGTGGAATTACACAGCGTTGTCTGTGTGAAACCCGCCACCTCAGGTCCTGGGGTGGGTTTAATGCTGTTCCAGCCTGAGCTGGTATCAGAGGTGTTAGCATCTCCAAGCAGCTCTGTGCTATGACATCCGCTGACCTGCTGCCTCTGCCCTTCCAGATGGCCTGGTGGATTGCCTGGACCCTGACTGCTGTCTGCAGTCTGCCTGTCAAAACAGTCTGCTATGCCGGGGGTCCCGGGACCCCCTGGACATCATTCAGCAAGGCCAGACGGACTGGCCTGCAGTGAAGTCCTTCTACGACCGCATCAAGCTCTTGGCAGGCAAGGACAGCACCCACATCATTCCTGGAGACAACCCCTTCAACAGCAGGTAGGCACCTCTGTCCCTGCAGGCCACTGACGTCACTGGGTTTTTTCCTGTTGGAGCAAGGAGAAGAGTTCTGGCTTTTCCATGGACCCAGTTGTCCGGGAAACATCCCTGCTATGAGTCCCTCACTCTGGGTCAGGCTCCAGAACAGAGTTCGGTCTCTGCAAAATTTGAGACCCTTCAACTCAGAACCTGCTAGAGACGCCTGTTGATTTTGAGATCACTTTTATGATCTGTTATTTTATGGCATTATTGTCATTATTTTAAATCTCCCTTTATAATACTTCTGATAGTGGCTTTTGTTCGAGCATTGCTAAAATCATTCATTCAACAGAGTATTTTTGAAGCCATTATTAACTTGATAACATAACCTGTCATTCCTGGCATCTTAAGAGTCAAGATGATTCCAACTGCAATAATGTATTGAGTACCTAGCTGGAGACTTTATGTAGATTATCTCTAATCCTCACAGCAATTCCATCAATTGCATTTCCTAATTACCTACTATGTGCAAGGCATTCCCTCAAGTTTACTTGCTCTCGGCTGCTAATTTGAGGTTTGTGAAAATTCTGGGGTCAAGTTCTGGATTTATTTTGTCATCAGCTTCGTCCCTCTTTTTGCCCCAGGACAAGTTAAAACTGTGCTCCTAGAAAAGAGAGAGGGGGAAGGCTTGGGGTTGAGACACTTTCTACCACCCCAAACCTCTCTCTTCTTGGCACTATCTCTGATTCTGAGGGGACAGAGAAGAAGCAGGAGAGGCAAGGGGTCTTCTTACGGCCTGGATGTGTATAATCAATCTCATCCTTAGTTGGTCTGTGTCCAAATGTCGATGGCGTCTGCTGATGTGGGGATGGGGGCATGGTTTTTGGGGGAGCACCTACCCCATCTCTATGTGTCTTCATGTGGAGAAATAAAACCTTCTGTTGGGTTCTCTTTCTACAAAACCTCTAGGAACCAGGAACTTGAGCACACTGGTCCTGGCCCACCCCTCCCCCCCTCCCGACAATCCCCACTGTACCATCTTTCTCTTATTTCTCTGGATCCTCACTCAGGTGGGTCCAGGAACAATTCAGGAAGTATGCTGCCACCTAGGCTTCCAGCCAGGAAGGAAATACCAGACTTCGCTTCTTACAAGGGTCCCTGACCTTATAAGTGATTTCTCTAGGGCTCCCCTCACAAGACTTGGGGAGGAGACATTGCCGGGGCCACAGGTCTCACTCTGCCCTTCCCTGAGAGAGCCCAGTGAGGGTGGAATGGAGAAGCCATCAGTGGCAGTATGACCAATTCTGCATCTCTTGACAGGTTACCTTGGGTCACCAATTTAGATTCTCTCTTCTCTAATTTTACTAAAAATAACGTAGAAAAAAATAATAGAGAAGAAAAAAAGAATCTCATCCCTCTTCTGTTGCAGCCCTGACACCTAGCTGTGTCACGAGCTCATAAACCTCATTTTCTTGATTAGTAAAATTAGAATAATATTACTAAATAAGTAAAAGTTAATTATACGAATTGGGTCATTCTTGTCATACCAAACTAAAGCACAGTCAAGGGGCCAGGGGGGAAAAGCACTCAGGCACATGACATTGCTCCAAGAATGTCATTCTCTGCAAGCCCAGCTGCTGGAGCTGCCTGCTGTAACCTGAAACCAGTTTATCCACAAGTTGCTGGACCAACCAGCTGTTACTCGAAGACTAGCTTTACCCACTGCTATCACCTACCAGTCAGAATTCACCAGCTCCCCAAAACTTTTCAAGTGCCAGTGAACTTTCTTTTAAAACAATGTGTAAGTTTTCTCCTTCTTATAAAACCTCCAAACTTCTCTTTGTTCTTCCAACACACCAGGGACTACCCAGTCTGTATGTATGCCCCGAATTGCAATGCTTGCTTCCTAAATACAGCACTTTCATTTTAGAGATTTGTCTTTATAGTTTCTTTGACTTCAGTGTTACACACAGTAATATTATTGTCTATTTTGATAGAAGAACTTCTCAAAAAAAAAAAAACCCACAAGTCTCTGACAAATAAAAAGCATTTTCTCTGCTTTTTAAATCCTAGTTCTGGAAATTTCTGTACATAACACTGCTTTTTTTTTTTCGAGATGTAGGGTACAATTCAGGGTTAGGTATACAAATGTTCATTATACATGTACCCTGGTTGATGAGGTATGCCCCGCCCTCCCCTGGCAGATTCCCACTATTGCCAATCCAGCCCCCCCCTCCCCTGGCAGTTTTCCACTACTGCCAATCCTTTTCTTATAGTATTACGATAATTGTTCACACATACTCCTTTTACTTCTGAACTTAATTCATCTTTTCAGAGACTCACAGCTGGGCAGGCCTTACACTGAGCCATGAGTATTTCAGTGGGGTTTGCATAAAACTTGCTTATATTATAAATTCATCCTTTGAAGTCCAACGGTCTGTTTCAACTTGTTTCCTAATTAACATTTCATTATTTCTACCCGAAATTCAGCCATTTCCTGATGGTCTTCCTTTCATGCTTTCTTCACCTGGCCCTTCTAATTTAATCTTATTCTCCTTACCAATACTTACCACTTCCTAAAGGCATCCTGAGCCAGAGTCAAAGTACAGATGACCAGGCAGGAACCCAGAATACTTGTGGACTATATCAGCCCAAGAGACCTGAAAAAAATAAAGCTGTTTCAGAGAACACTTCTGTGAACCTTCAAACAGTAGCAATAAATCCCACCGCCCAATGAGCCCATGTGCTCCAGCACGTCTGCAAGGATACATAATTCAGAAACACAAAATGTTACTCTAAGACATGGGTCGAAGTTCAGCAAGCGTGTGAATTTCCGTACATGATCACCTGACAAATAATGAAGGACAAAGCTGGAGTAAAAAAGAAATTATTTCCAGACTTGTAAAAAGGCGTTCCCCTAGATAATGGCGTACAAAAATAACCAAAATGCCTTGACTCCACCACTATAATTTATAGAGCAGATCTCACTATCTAGATAATGTGATAATTGTTACACATCAATAATCATAAATAGAAATGAACTGATAGCCTGTCTTCACTGAATCTTTTTCGCAAATTGACTGCCTAGAAACGATAGGAAGCGGCAGCAAGGAAGAATGAGAAAAACAGAGGATGGAAATCACAGGCAGCCCAACCCTTCGTATTCCCATGGTGCTCTGCAAAGTCTTATGCTACAGGAATGATTTTTAAAAAAAGAAGTTGTAGAAAAAAAAAAGAAAAGGGGGGAGAAAACCCACAGTGGAATGTTCTCCCAATTTTGTTTTCTTATCACGAGCACTGTGTACCTTGTGGTCGTCAACACACATCATTGATTTTAAAATAGTGTCTGGTAAGGCCTTAAAGAAATCTTAGTCGGAGCTAAGATAAGAAAATGGAATTGAACAAAAGGATTATTTTCATAAATTAGTTTTCCGCTTTCAAAAGATTTCTAGCACTGTGGTTGGAACTGGCTAAAAACGGGATTCATTTGTGAGGCAGCCCGTAGCAGACAATTAGAGCTGTCAGTGGAACAGTCTAAACACGCCTGAGATCATCAAAGGGTTGGAGTTGAACAGCTGGGGGTCTTGCTAATAAAAAGAGAGACTTGGAGACAGTCTCCCTTCAGGTTTCTGGATGCCTGGGACTGCAAAGTGCTTTCCAAAAATCCAGCAGACTTTGACAAGATTCTGGCAAAGGACAAGTCAGTTGATTATCTAGTCCAGAGATTGGGAGTGTGTCCAGGAGCCTGTGAACCTGAGATCTCTCTGCTTTTGCCAAAGTTCCCAGTGTCTTAAAGGCCAAAAATACAGCTTGCAGAACTAGAAATGGAGGTTTTCAGGCTCACATCTGTAATCTCAGCACTTCGGGAGGCCAAGGCAGGAGGATCACTTGAAGTCAGGAGTTTGAGGCCAGCCTGGGCAACATAGTAAGACCCTGTCTCTACAAATTTTTTTTTTTAATTAACCAGGTATGGTGACACATGCCTGTAGTCCCAGCTAGTGAGGAGGCTAAGGCAGAAGGATCTCGAGCTGTAGTCCCAGCTAGTGAGGAGGCTAAGGCAGAAGGATCTCAAGGTTACAGTGAACTATGATCACGCCACTGCACTACAACCTGGGCAGCAGAGCAAAATTCAGTCTCAAAAAATAAAGAGAAAGAAAGAAATGGAGCTTTTCATTGTTCCATTTCTCCATGAAGTCAGGAGAATTCAGGTGAGAGGAGACATTCATTCTCCCTCCATAGTCCTTGACATAAGAAAAATAGGTAGTTACATGGAATCCAGAATCTAGGATATTTCTACCAGAAAAAATAATAATAACGATCTCCAGTGTTCTCTTTTCCTCAGCTCTCATGGGCTGTGAGAAATTTTCCTCTTAGAGGGCACCAAAACAAAAAACAAAAAAAACCCCAATGCATGTGCATGTCCAAGCCTCATGAACGCCTCTGTGCTCCCCTCTGTGCCTCTGACATCCTAGTCTCGAGAAGAAGCGTAGCATGGTCTTTCTCCAAAGTCAAAAAAAGAAAAGAAAGAAAAGATGTCGGCAGGTGGGGAAGCGCTCACCCAAGTGTGACACTCTCTGTATAGGTGAAGGCACGTGAGTGATTAGGGACAGCACGAAGGTCCAAGCAAAGGCACACGGTGTCAAAAAAAGGAGCAAGGCCACGGGTGGGAGGACGGAAGGCACACAGGAGACCCCGCTACCCCACTGAGTGACAGGAGATGCTGCCCTTGGGTTTCACCCCCAAATGTCACTAGTGCTTTTCCTCAGGCAAAGCAGAGCATCAAGACCTCCCTTGGGCCCACGCCTCCCTGTGAGGTGTGATGGCAGGGAGTCAGAAGCTAAAGGTGAACTCTTCGCCTCGCCTTGTGGACCAGATGAGGACAGGGGAGCGGAAGCAGCAGGAATCGCTTCATTCTCTTGCATGTGGCTCAAAGACCTGTGTTTCTTTCTCTCTCAGCTTGGTTTCTCTCATCCGAGGCCAAGTAGTCACCACAGATGGGACCCCCCTGGTCGGTGTGAACGTGTCTTTTGTCAAGTACCCAAAATATGGCTACACCATCACCCGCCAGGATGGCACGTAAGTAGCTTCTGGGGGCTCGGACCTACTCAGGCCCAAGTGTGCATGGAGAGAGACAGATGGTGTCACTGGCTTGGAACCACATGGTTTCCCCTCATGGACTGGAATGCCCACCAGGCTGGACCTCTAGTGAGCGTTTCCCCATAGACATTTCATGCTTTTTGCTATGATTTCAAAAGCAGAAAATAAGGCCAGGCATGGTGGCTCATGCCTGTAATCCCAGTGCTTTGGGAGACTGAGGTGGGAGGATCACTTGAGGCCAGGAATTCAAGACCAGCCTGGGTGACATAGCAAGACCTCGTCACTGCAGAAAATAAGAATAAAATAATTAGCAGAGGGGTGGTGGTATGCACCTGTAGTCCCAGCTACTTGGGAGGCTGAGGCAGGAAGATCACTTGAGCCCAGAAATTGGAGGCTGCAGCGAACTATAATCACACTACTGCACTCCAGCCAAGACTGTTTAAAAAATTTTTTGGCCAGGTTCGGTGGCTCAGCCTAAAATCCTAGCACTTTGAGAGGCCAAGGCGAGAGAGTTGCCTGAGCCCAGAGGTTCGAGACCAGCCTGGGCAACTTGGCAAGACCTCATCCCTACAATAAGTTTTTAAAAGTAGCCAGGCATGGTATTGCACACCTGTAGTTCCAGCTACTTGGAAGACTGAGGCAGAAGGATCGCCAGAGCCCAGCAGGTCGACACTTGGGTGGCCGTGAGTGTGCTACTGCACTCCCTGGGTGACAGAGTGAGAGAGACTCCAACTCAAATAAATAAATAAGGGCCAGTTGCAGTGGCTCACGTCTATAATTTCAACACTTTGGGAGATCAAAGCAGGGGGACTGCTTGAGCCCGTGGGATTGAGAGCAGACTGGGAAGCATAGTAAAACCTCATCTTTACCAAAAAAAAAAAAAATTTAGCAGGGCTTGGTGTGCATCTATAGTCCCAGCTATTGGGTAGGCTGAGGTGGAAGGGTTGCCTGAACCCAGGAGATCAAGGCTGTTGTGAGCCATGATCGTTGTGATCACATCACTGCACTCCAACTTGGGCGACAGAGTAAGACCCCACTCAAAAAAAAAAAAAAAAAAGAGGTCGGCTGCGGTGGCTCAAGCCTGTAATCCCAGCACTTTGGGAGACCGAGGTGAGAGGATTGCCTGAGCCCAGGGGTTCAAGATCAGCCTAGGCAATTTAGTGAGACCTCATCCCTACAATAAATCAAAAAAATTAGCTGGGCATGGTGGCACGCACCTGTAGTTCCAGCTACTTGGAAAGCTGAGGCGGAAGGATCATCTGAGCTCGGAAGGTCAAGGCTGCAGTGACTGTGAGCATGCCACTGCACTCCAGCCTGGGTGACAGAGGGAGATTCCAACTCAAAAGAAAAGAAAAGAAAAGAAATAGGAAGGCCAGCTATCCAGAGCTGCTGACAGCCATCACCCTCCTTTCTTCTGTGTCAGTTAATTGCATGTGTGTGTGTGTGTGTGTGTGTGTGTGTGTGTCTGTGTTGGAGAGGGCAGTTTCTAGAAAAAAGAAGGAAAGGTAGCTCTTAGAAACTAACTTCTATTTTAAATCAAAGGCAGTGCAGGGTGACAAGAATCCACATGACACAGTGTCCTGTGGCGATCCCCTTCTGCTTTCATCTGTGGCTTTAGTTGTGTTGTTTTCGCTACTGTTGTGAGGGGGTGGCGTGTAATCAGAGAAGTCTAATTAAATACATTTAGCAGTCACCCCGCTGTGTGAAGGAGGCAACCTTTGCCTATTATCTTCTGATTGGAAACACGTACCCGTTCAGCCCCCGTCAAGATGAAAGCTCTGTCATTTCCTTAATCCATGTGAGCACAGAGTAGAAATTTAAGGAAAAAGATAAGCAGGAGAAAAGAAATCTATGGGAAGGGGAAAACTGATTCACTCTGGGCTAAACAACACACACAGGATGGTGGCATTCTACTTCAGATAAAAAGAGAAACAGTTGCTATCAATCTCATGCAGCACTTTGTCTATGGTACACACTCTGGCAAATCATGGCCGTATCACGGAGGTAAGAATACAGCTTCCTGCCTTTCTATGGGGAAGAATCTGGCCTTATTTTCCATTGCCCTAAGATCACTTGTCAGGCGGTTTCAAGAGTGACCAGCCCCAGGTAGCCCCCACCTTATATTCCCACCTCTGAAACCCAAATAAGGGGTCTAGTGGTTCATATGAAGTCCTCAAGATTCATGCAATTTCTGACATCTCACTCATGTACTTCTGCAGCCAAATCTCATTATTTTACAGCACAAGGAGGGCAAATGGGTACCATGCAGGGCTGCTCTGACCCTGCGCATTCTTAGAGGCCAGACTTTATAGAACTGACATCCTTGAGTCGGTTCTATAAAGTCCAGTGATGTTTCCGAGTCCCTGGTCTGCGTCCCTTCCTCACGGCACCCAACCCTCTTAGCTGCCCTCTGACTAATGATTGCCCAGATCCATGCCCCAGATCACCCAGCCAGCCTCCTGGATCAGTGACTCCTTGTTCAGGTTGCAAAGCCATGGAGGTCACGAGACTGTTTGAAGGTGCCCCCAGGAACCCTACAAGCTGTTGTATCTTGGTGTATGCCACAGACATCCACGCTGCTTCTGTCATGCCTACTAGGAACAAGTGTGCTTCAAGATATACGACTCCCTTCTGGATTCTGTGCAAAACCATCCACAGCAGTCTTCATGCTCAATAAATTCACACACACACAAACAAAATAATTAGTAAGTAAACTGTTGCACTGCTCACGCTCTGATATTTACCTTAACATTCATGTGTTCCTTGTTCATTCACTTAATGTTTATGTTTATGTTTACTAAAAAAACACCAGACGTGTTACCAAGATTGGGTGAAGCCAATGAGTCTTACTGTCGCCCAGGCTGGAGTGCAGTGGCATGATTATGGCTCTCGCAGCCTCGACCTGCTGGGCTTAAGTGATCCTGCCTCAACTTTCTAAGTAGCTGGAACCACAGGCGTACACCACCACGCCCGGCTACTTTTCAAGTATATTTTCACTAAGTTTTTCCTGTGATCCAGGCTCTCTGTTAGCTGCAGTGCTTCTGAAGTGAGCAACACAGACAGCACAACTGTCCTCAGAGAGTTGAGATTCTAAAGGAAGAATAAAGCTTAAAATCTAATGGACACTTCTCTCCATTAACCTCCTTCTTTTCTGTTAATTGGGAAAAGCTACCTTTACTAGTAGTACACTTTTGTCCAGCTCTTGTGGAATAAACAGGAGTAAAGTGTATAAACCATTGTCAAAGATATCAGAGACGGAGCAGAGGTTATATATCGTATCATTATATAACTACACTATTTATTGAACATCCTATTAGCCTAGGACTGCGCTAAGTGCTTTACACCAGAAGTCAGCAAACATTTTCTATAAAGGTCTAGGTAGGCTGGATACAGTGGCTTATGCCTGTAACCCCAGCACTTTGGGAGACTGAGGTGGGAAGATTGCTTGAGACCAGGAGTTTGAAGCCAGACTGGGCAACATAGTGTGACCCTATCTCAAAAAAAAAAAAAAAATTGTCGGGCACCGTGACTCTAGCATACATGTAATCCTAGCACTTTGGGAGGCTGAAGCAGGGGGATTGCCTGAGGCCAGGAGATTGAGACCAACCTGGGCAACACAGTAAGCCCTTGTCTCTACAAAAATCTGAAGGAAAAAAATTGCTGGGCATGGCAACGGATGTCTGCACTCCTAGCAACTAGGGAGGTTGAGGTGAAAGGATCGCTTGAGGCTGAGAATTTAAGGTTACAGTGAGTTATTATCACACTCCTGTTCTCCAGCCTGGGCTAGAAAGTGAGATATTGTCTCAAAATATATATATATATAAATAAGTAAATAAATAAGGACCAGATAGTAAATAGTCTGGCCATCTGTTTTCTGTTCAGCTCTACCACTGAAGTAGAAAGCAGAGGATACACAAACAAATGGGTGTAGTTGTATATCAATAAAACCTTATTCACCAGAATAGGTAGTGGACCAGAATTAGCACATGGGCCATAGTTTGCTGACCTCTGCTCTGCATTCATCGTGATATTTCATTCTCTCAGCCATACTGTGTGTATCAGTATCATTATTCCCATTTTACAGATGAAGAAACTTGGGCTCAGAGAGGGTTGGTAACTTGCCCATCACCACACAGCTAGTACGTGAAAGAGTTTGAATTCCAGTCCCACCTGTCTAGCAGGTCACACATGCACAGGATATGACCCCAGTGGTCTGCTTCATTGGGGAGTGGAGCTGATAACTTTTTCTAGTTGGAGTCTTACTCTGTCACCCAGACTGGAGTGCAGTGGCCACTCCCAGCCACCGTAGCCTCAACCTGCTGGGCTCTGGCGATCCTTCTGCCTCAGGCTGCCAAATAGTTGGAACTACAGGCGTGCACTACCATGCCTGGCTCATTTTTTTTTTTTTAATTGTAGAGATGAGGTCTCGTCAAGTGACCCAGGCGGGTCTCGAACCCGCAGGCTCAGGCAATCCACTCACCTTGGCCTCCCAAATCAAGATAGTAATGGAATACTGGAGTACCTTGTGCATTTTCGGGCCTCCAAAGCCCACATTCTCTCCCTCTGGGCTCTGCCCCTGCCACTGCCCTTGGGTGAGGAGATCAGAGCATCCTGTCTGCAGGGGAACCCACCCTTCTCAGAGAGTCCCTTTCCCCCTCTCCAGGTTCGACCTGATAGCCAATGGGGGTGCTTCCCTGACTCTACACTTCGAGCGAGCCCCCTTCATGAGCCAGGAGCGCACCGTGTGGCTGCCATGGAACAGCTTTTACGCCATGGACACCCTGGTGATGAAGACCGAGGAGAACTCCATCCCCAGCTGTGACCTCAGTGGTTTTGTCCGGCCCGATCCAATCATCATCTCCTCCCCCCTGTCCACCTTCTTCAGTGCCGCCCCTGCGCAGAATCCCATCGTGCCTGAGACGCAGGTAGGAATGGCAGGTGCCGGGGTGGGACCCTCAGTCCTTCCCTGATCAGAATCAGAGGGCTGACTTCCTGCCACCACATCTCTCTCCCAGAATGGGCCAGAGACTAATATGAAGGTGAAAGAACAAAAAGTAGGAGAATTGATAGCCCCTGAAGACAAAAGTTTGCATCCCTCCTGAACATTCTGGATGTTTGCAGAGAATCGTTCAAGACTTTGGCAGTCACTGGAGCTTTTAATAAAATAAGAACAATATACATATGTGCAACCCACCTGCAAATTGCTTTTTGTTCCTGTTAGTCACAGAGACACCTGATAAGAGGCGCTTTAATGATCTACATCGGTGTTACGACAGAGGGCATATTACATTACTGCCTCCCTGTTGCTTTATACCGATTGTCAGTGGAAGTTGTAGGTTCATATAATTACAGCCTCTCGTGGCCTCCTGGCACGCAGCTAGCAATAAAGCCTGCTGTTCTTATTTACATCTTTTGCCAACAGCGCGGTTTTTAAAAAGAAACACAACAGTGACCGAGAATAATTATTAATCCAAAAATCATAACCTCAGCCCCTTAACTCCACGGCGGAGGATAAAGTTTGGCTTGTGGTGGTGGTGTTGTTTTTTCTTTCTCAGCCGTAGTAAGTGGTGCTTGCACCCACATAAAATGTGATGTGCAGTAGCAGGCAGAGGTTACGAATGGCTCGCCAGCAGGAGTGTATGTGGTGTGTGGTATGTGTGCGATGTGTGTGTCTACCACGTGTTTCCTCTCCAGGTTCTCCACGAAGAGATAGAGCTCCCGGGTTCCAATGTGAAGCTTCGCTATCTGAGCTCCAGAACCGCCGGGTACAAGTCGCTGCTGAAGATCACCATGACCCAGTCCACGGTGCCCCTGAACCTCATCAGAGTTCACCTGATGGTGGCCGTGGAGGGGCATCTCTTCCAAAAGTCATTCCAGGCCTCTCCCAACCTGGCCTATACTTTCATCTGGGACAAGACAGATGCTTACGGCCAGAGGGTGTATGGACTCTCCGATGCTGTGGGTATGTTTGGGTTTCAACCACTTGTTGATTCGCAGATTCAGCCTTGTGTTAATTCAGTCAGTCTTCATCAAGTTCTTAGCAAACATCAAGCACCGTTCTGGTAGATAAAGACACAGTGGTCAGTAAGACAGACAAGATTCCTCTTACATGGGTCTTCCGTTCTACTGGGGAGTTGAGAAACTAAATACAAATTGAACGAGGAAATAGCAAGCAGCAAGAAGAGCTAATAAGAAAATAAAAGTAAGTGAGGCTGGGCACCATGGCTCATGCCTATAATCCCAGCACTTTGGGAGGCCAAGGCAGGAGGATCGCTTGAGCCCAGGAGTTTGAGACCAGCCTGGGCAACATAGCAAAACCTCGTCTCTACCAAACATCAAAAAATTAGCAAGACATGGTGGCATGTGCCTATAGTCCCAGCTGCTTGGGAGGCTGAGGTAGAAGGATTGCCTGAGCTTAGAAGGTCGAGGCTGCAGTGGGCCGTGATGGTGGCAGAGTGAGACCACGACAAGAAAGAGAGTGAGAGAGAGAAAGAGAGAGAGAGAGAAAGAAGAGAAGAGAAGAAAGGAAAGAAAGAAAAAGGAAGGGAGGGAGGGAGGGGAGAGAAAGAAAGAAAGAGGGAGAGAGGAGGAAAAAGAAGGAAGGAAGGAGGGAGGGAGGACAGAGAAAGAAAGAAAAAGAAAGAGGAAGGAAAGAAGAGAGGAAGGGAGGAAGGGAGGGAGGGAGGGAGGGAGGAAGGACAGTGAAATATGCTGGGAAGGAGGGACAGCTGTGGGTGTGCACTCAGGAAAGTTTCCTCAGCAGGGTGACATTTAAGCAGATACTTAAATAACAAGAAGCAACCAAATCAAAATCAGAAAAAGCACATTCCAGGCAGAGAGACAAGCTAGGAGAGTGTTGAAGAACAGAGAGAGGGCTGATGCAACTAGAGTGTGGTGGGAAAGGAGGGTATTCAGGAGGAAGGGAGGGACCGGCAGGGGCTGAATAATGGTCCAGCACTTGCAAACGGCATAGAATATACCTCGAGAACTAGAAAATGGGGTTCAAGAGGTTTGAAAGCCACATGCTGTGTTCCAAGGTTTTTCCTTTTGAAGGAATTACACAATCCACCCCCCCATCCACGAAAGATTACCATATGAGAAGTATTCTAGGCAGTACATGGTAGTTTACACCTGTAATTCCACCACTTTGGAAGACTGAGGCAGAAGGAATTTTTGAGTCCAGGGGTTCGAGACCAGCCAACCTGGGCAACATAACAAGACCTCGTCTCTACAAAAAAAAATTAGCTGGGTGTGATGGTGTGCACCTATAGTCCTAGCTACTCAGGAGGCTGAGGCGGGAGGATTGCCTGAGCCCAGGAGATCGAGGCTGTAGTGAGCCGTGATTGTGCCACTGCACTTCATCATGGGCAAGAGAGTGAGAACACGACTCAAAAAAAAAAAGAAAGAAAAGAGAAGGGATCTATAGTTATTAGACTTGTGAGCTGCGGGTTAATCTCAACCTACCTGGTGTCTTCCTACTTGTGGAACGCTATCTGGGGATTAATTAAAATCCAAAATCCTGTATTCTCTTCACCAATAGGCTTGTGGTTTTCATGAACCGTAAAGATAAGTTACCAAGATAAGAAACTAGCAAAACCCAGATATTTTCAGCCAATTAGCAGCCAGTGTTTCTCAGTTATTCCCTTCATGTAGAGAGCCTTGTGCTAAAACCTCTGTCTTGGGAAACCTCTCAATAACCCTATCAAATGTTCACTCTCATAATTCGCATTGTGCAGGTGGGGTAGGAGGGAGAGGGCAGGAATGTCACCCAGAACCGTGCAACTAAAGGTTGCACAGGCTCTGCTTCATCAGTGAGCGGAGTTAAAAACATAATCAAGATAGTCATAAGTTATTGGAGTGCATTTTTTTTTTTTAAGTTGGATTTATTGAAAAGATAGAAAAGCTCCTACAGTGGGAGGGGACCTGAAGGGGTTGCCTGGAGTGCATTTAAAATAAAACACTGGCTAATCACAAAAAAAAATCTGACTTTGGCCAATATGAAAATGATAGCCAATATCAAAGAGTAGACCCAGTATTAAATGCATCTCCCAGCTGGGCTCGGTGGCTCAGCCTGTAATCCTGCTCTTTGGGAGGCTGAGGTGAGTGGATTGCCTGAGCCCGCGGGTTCGAGACCCGCCTGGACAACTTGGTGAGACCTCATCTCTACAATAAATCAAAAAATCAACCGGGCGTGGCAGCGCATGCTGGTAGTTCCAGCTACTTGGAAGGCTGAGGCGGAAGGATCCCCGGAGCCCAGCAGGTCGAGGCTGAGGTGGCTGGGAGCAGCCACTGCATTTCAGTCTGGGTGACAGAGTGAGACTCCAACTCAAAAAAAAAAAATGCATCTCCCTGTTCTCCAGCTCCTGCAGTGATCATTCACAATAACTCTTGTTTTGCCATACCCTTGTCCACTTCTCCACCTCCCATGTTCTTCTGAAGCAAGTCCCAGGCATCACATCATTTCATCTTCATTATTTTAGCATGTAGCTCTAAAGAACACTTTAAAAATATAACAATATCATTATCACAACAAAAAACAATAATTTCTTAATAGTATCACATAGCCCATCATTGCTCAATATTTCAATTGCTTCATAAATATTATAAACTATGAATACCTTATTTATTTGACTCAGGATCCCCTTAAGATCCACCTGTTGCAATTGGTTGGTTTCTCTTCCATTTTTAAAAATCTTCTTCTCCTCCCTCTTCCTCCTTCCTCTCTCTCTTTCTCTCTCTCTCTCTCTCTCTCTCTCTCTCTCTCTCTCACCTTTATGATTTGTTTGTTAAGATAGCAGGTTGTTTGCCTGCAGAATTTCCCGCAGTCTGGTTAGTTGATTGGTTGGTTGGTTGGCTGACTGGCTGGCTGGCTGGCTGGCTGGCTGGCTGGCTGGCTGACTCGTTGGCTGGTTAGTTTTCTGACTGCGTACTTGTGATCGTTTACCATGTCCCTGCTTGCTGTATCTCCTGGTAATTGATAGTTGGATCTTGACGCTTTCTCAGATTTAGGTTTGATTTGCGATTTTTTGATTTAGCAGGACAACTTGATAGGCAGAGCTGTGTTCTTCTATCAGGAGGCACCTGATGTCAAGTCGTGTATTTTTTATTGATTTCAGCAGACAATGATGTCCATTGCCTAGGCCATCAGCTCATTAGGGATTGCAAAATGATACTTTAATTCTTTCACTGCTTCTTCATCTATTGGCTGGAATACTTTTATATAGAGATACTTTCTCATCAACCACTTGGTCATGTGAGGTACAATTCAAATAAGAAAGGGAGGACAAATTCTTGATTCTTTCCATTTACTAGTTTTCTTTTTTCTTTTTTGAGTTTTAGTCTAACTCTGTTGCCCAGGCTGGAGTGCAGTGGCACACTCATGGCCATCCCAAGATCAATCTACTGGGCTCAAGCAATCCTTCCACCTCAGCCTTCCAAGTAGCTGGAACTACAGGTGTGTGCCACCATACCAGCTAATTTTTTATTTATTGTAGAGATAAGGTCTCACCAAGTTGCCCAGGCGGGTCTCGAACCCGCGGGCTCAGGTAATCCATTCATTTCAGCCTCCCAAGGCACGGGATTACAGGCTGAGCCACCGAGCCCAGCTTATTTACTAGTTTTCAATATTATTAGTAGATTCACCTTCCAAAGGTGGCTAATTGATGTTCTTTAAATACCACTGTGAACTCGTGGATTGAAATATATCTAGTATGTTTCAATCTATTGAAGTTATTATCCTTAATAATGGTCAAATGGCCCCATCTTTGGTCAACGGGAGCCTTTTCCAGCTGACTCTCAAATCCTTTTGACACAACTCTAATAGATTTTGATGCCTTCCTTGCTATCTAGTATGATAAAAAGGCCTGGTCTCATCTTGTTCATTTCTTGCTCCAGCCATTTCTTCAAGAAGTCCTGATTCCTTTTAATGAGAAATAATATATCATGGCCGCAAGCCGGGCGCTAGCAATTCTCTTTGCTCCTGGGTTGGTCATTTGGTCATTGTTTCTTGACATTTTCAGAGGACAAGCTAGGAAATATATAGGGTTTTTTTTAGAAGATAAAATGCATCCTCTGTTCATATCGACACTTCTATATCTCAGGATTTTTTAAAAGCAGCAGAATCCCCAAAGGTGACACACATAGTTAAGAGTTTAATGCAGTAAGAACAGCAATAATAACAATGCCTTGTATTTCTAGAGCGGCATTCCAATTAAAAATGTATGACTTCTCAGCATCTTGTCGCCTCTATTCTTACCACATCTCTCTGAGAAATTGAGGCATCACGTATCTCATTTTACACGTGGGGAGAACAGAGCCCCAAGGAAGTGTGAACTGGAGCCAAACTAGGACTCATTGCCCTTTGTCTCCTGCCTTCCTCTTCCATTTTTCCATGTGGCAAGCGCAAGATTTTTACAGACAGCCTTTGGCTTCTGTTCCCATTGAATTTCCACATAACTATTGGGCTGTGCTTCTGTTGGTGCCTGCATCTCCTGGCATTTTCTAGAATCCTGAGTTAACATTCAAAGTGCCTTAACGGGCCAGGCACTGATTCACACCTGTAGTTCTGCACTTTGGGAGGTGGAGGCAGGAGGATGTCTTGAGACCAGGAGTTCCAGACCAACCTGGGCAACATAGCAAGATTCCATTTTTAAAAAATGTTTTAAGAAGTGTCTTAACATACACAAGTTATTGCTCGCAGAATCTCTTTGTTAATGAGCCTCTGTGCTTCCAAAGGCCTTCCTCCTAGTGGAAATAAATAACACAAGGTATAATAAGTGCCTGCCGTGAACAGCAGGCTGAGGGAAACAGCCTCCTGTCCATCTCTGAAGGGGAGCTGGGTTAGGTTTTTAAATGATTACTTTCCTACTTCCATGTCACTGGGGTCATTTTTGAAAGCTAGTAGTTCATTGGAACGGTCCTTCCCTACCTACAGAGTACTAATGTGTAAAGTTTCAAGGTTGGGTTCAGCTCAAAAATCGGAATTTAATATTGTGGAATCACAAGGAAAAAAAGCAATCAGGCCTTCTCTTGGAGTTTTTGGAGCAGAATCTGTGTCACCGCACACACGTGTTTCTCACTCGTCTGAAGAGCTCTGGAGTAATCAAGTAAACTCACTCTTTTCTCCCACTCTGCCCCTCCCCCTTTTATCTTTCAGTGTCTGTGGGGTTTGAATATGAGACCTGCCCCAGTCTGATCCTCTGGGAGAAAAGGACAGCCCTCCTGCAGGGATTTGAACTGGACCCTTCCAACCTTGGAGGCTGGTCCCTGGACAAGCACCACATCCTCAATGTTAAGAGTGGTATGTGAGCACATCTCCCTTCCCAAATATGCCATCCTCACTTTTCTGGAAGCTTCTCTCCAGCTTTGTCATTTAGGTGGACACTGTTTCCCTTCCTTCAGCCATTTGTTACCAAGTGCCCAAAATGCCCACAGGTTTTCTCACCTTCTCTTTTTAAATATCAAAGAAAGTTGGGCTGATTTGCCCAGGGCATCAGACGTCTTGTACCTCACAACTGTCTTCAATTGTTTCCCAAAATGTCACATTACCCAAGGCTGCAACATCTCAGAGCATCCCTCCCTCCACCCTGAGAAGAAGCTGGAGAGCTTCCCAAAGGTTGAAACTTCCTAATATTTCTCTCCCCCCTGTCACTTCCCTCACCCCCAGTAGGCCAATGCATGTGTTCTCCCAGGAGCCTACAGTAATTCTTCCCACCCCTCGCCTGCAGGAATCCTACACAAGGGCACTGGGGAAAACCAGTTCCTGACCCAGCAGCCTGCCATCATCACCAGCATCATGGGCAATGGCCGCCGCCGGAGCATCTCCTGTCCCAGCTGCAATGGCCTTGCTGAAGGCAACAAGCTGCTGGCCCCGGTGGCTCTGGCTGTGGGAATCGATGGGAGCCTCTATGTGGGTGACTTCAATTACATCCGGCGCATCTTTCCCTCTCGAAACGTGACCAGTATCTTGGAGTTACGGTAAATGACCACACGGGCAACTGTTGCTATCTTGCCTTTCATGGCTCCTGGGTTTTCCTGGGTCAACGGGGCCGTGTTTGGAGTTCTCCAGAGAATATATAGTCTGTGTGATCAAAACCTAGGCTCAGAAATCAATAAGAATGTGGGGAAATGTCTTGTGTGTCTATAAAACGCCAAAGGAATATCAACTGACTTACAAAAGGTAAAGGCTTTCAGTCTCCAGACTGACTGGAGAAGGACCAAGCCTTTTTTAAACTTATTTTTTAAAAGTTCTTTAGAAGATTCTGATACACATCAAAGTTTGAGAACCACTAATGTCCACGTTCTACATGAAAAATGTTACATTGAGCCCCTCTATTGCAAACACTGTATAAATTCCCTGTCTTTGCACATTCACTAGGATATGACTTAGCTTTGCTGTGTAGACCTTGCTAGGTGACATCTGACCACCCCAGTAGATTTTTCCTGGTCATTGTTTGCTACTAGTCTGAAGTCCAGACTCCTCTGTGCTGGGAAAATATTGACCCCTAAAAGCTCTTGGACGTGGTCTTCCCCAAAAGTTGATTTCAGCCCCTCAATCCAGAGAAGAACTGTAGATAGAGGGAGAAATAAGGTCTAGACAAATGGGGAAAATTTTATTCAACGAATATCTGATAAATGTATACCATGTGCCAGGGACTATCTGGCAAGGAAAAAAGTGGTGAACAAGCAAAACCCCTGTTGTTGGGTCTGTGGTTTGTAGGGAGCTACAGACCAAGTCATGCAGGCAATAAAAATATAATTTCAACAGCATTAAGGAAAATCAAACAGGGTCAGAAACAGGGACTATGGTGGGGGGAAGAAAATAGGGAGGCACTTAAGATAAAGTAGTCTGAGAAAACTCTCATACTAGGTGGCATCCGAGTTGGGGTCCCAGTGATGAGGTCAACCATGATGAGAGCAGATGGGAGAAAAACATTCCTATCCCAGGCAGAGAGAAATTGTGCAAAAGCCCTAATCTCAACCACCTGGCCTCTTTAAGGATGCATAGAAGTTTCGTGTGGCAGGAAGGTGGTAAACTCAGGGAAGAGCGTCTTAGTCTTAGTCTTAGAGGAGGTTGGTGAGTTGTAGGGGACCTTACTGGCCACGTAGACAAGTGTATGTTGTATTGGAGTCCAGTGGACAAACACTGGAGGTTGAAAGAGGCAGTGGGTGGGGTTGACATGGTCTGATTTGCATCTTTTAAAGATGACTCAGGCTGTGTGGAGAGTAGACTATAGGAGTGCAGGAGTGGAGGCAGAAAGCCCAGAAGGAGGCTGCAGTGACTGTCCAGGATTGGGGTGATATGATTTGGACCAGGATGATTGCAGAAGAGAAGGAAGTACCCCAATTTGGATACATTTTTAAGGCAAACCTGATAGGACTTGCTGATGGATCAGGTGTAAGGAATGAAAAGAGAGAGAGAAGGAAATCAAGGGCCCTGCCTGGGACTTCAGCCTGACCGCTGAGTGGATGGTGGCACCTTCTGATGCAGCCTCAGTCACTATGGGAAAAACTTAGAGGAACCACAGGTTGCAATTGCATTTTAGTGTCTTTGAGGCCCCTTCGGGGAGAGAGGTCAGTGGCCTGACTACCAGCAACTGCTGCTGAGTGTTCTTGGGAGTCGAAACTATGCCAGCACCGGGGGGGACAAAAAGAGAGAAGAAGATACAAGCTGCGCCCTAAGGACGCTGCAGCCTCAATGTCCAGGGGGCACTTCCTGTGTGCTGGACTCAAAGTGTACTGAAGGGATGAAATGCAGACTCAAAGTGCCCCATGCAAGGGAGAGAGGTGGCGCCCGGGGAAGTCACTGCCATTCACGCAGAGCCGAAGAGCCAAAGACCAACCAGTGTGGGGGGGTGGGAATCATGGGGTGGAGGCAGAGGATACAGTAGCCAAAAGATACACAATGAGAGCAAGAAGGAAGCCCATATCCCTCAAGCTGTCAAGCTGTCAATCAGACAAATCACTTGTCCTAGACATCCCCACACAGGTTCCCTTCCCAAGATGCTTTTCCATTTCTTATGCTAGGAAAGCCCCCTCTTCTCAGGCACCCTGTGGGTAAGGAGAGCCGGGGGAAGAGGCCGGAAGGGGTGAAGGTAGCCTCAAGTTTTTCCAAGGCCTGCAGGAAAAAAAGGGCTGAATACTTGCATCTGGCTTTTGTGGTCCTCAAGCCCTTCTTCCTTTGCTATGGCTTCCCCCTGCCCAGAGGCAAAGCAGCCCTTGCCTGGTGTCTTCCCATCTCCCCACCTGGACTCATGCTGCTTGCTCTGCTTCGAATACCTCCTCTAGCTAACCCTTTGCATCCTGTCCACCCGCAAAGCCCCGTTTGAGGGTTGCCTCTTCCATGAAGCCTGGTCTCCCCAGCAGAAATAATTCCCACCATCCTCTGGGTCGCTTGCCTCTCCGATTTCCCATTAGAGCTGACACCACTCACTGCCTTGTTCCATTTTTTTCTGTGTATGTCTTCAGGGCCCAAGTGTGTGACCCGAGTAGTGAAGATCCCTTGGTCGTCTATGCCCCTCAATGCCTAGAGCAGGGCCTGCTCCATGATAGGTGCTCGAAATAGGTTGCTCAAATTAACGAAAACACAGACCAGTCTCCTCTCTCCTGTTGGAATTGGTCCCTGATTCCAGAGCTCTCAGGTTGTAGATGGTACAATGGCCCGATCAGAGCAAGCCACACCCACTTGGTGACATTGAGGACTCCCAATTTCCCTCGACAGCTGTGTGAGTTTTTTTCCCCTTTTTTAAAATGGCCTTCAGATTTGTTCTTGCTTTCATCAGCCAAGTACCCAGAGCCGATTAGAAGTTAAGCTTTTACAAGAACACTGGTTTGATGCTTCTTTTCTTTCCATTACATACCTGAAAACAAAGGGCTGTCAATCCCCTCTCTTCAAAACAGCACCCAGCAGGGGGAGGGTGGAGGCAGGAAAAGGCCTGTCTTGCTTATGTCTTTTCTCCATTGTGAGACAGCAGCTGAATGATTCCATTTCGGGAGTCAGTGCCCATCCCTGTCTTGGCTACCCGCCCCCAGAGCAGAGCCTCTGAGTTGGAATCCTATTTCAATGTCCCCTTGGCTCTCTTGCTGTCCTTCTCCCTCCCCCCTTCCTTTGCCTGTCTAAGACATGCAGGGGCAGAGTTCTACACACTTGGATAGCTTCTGATGCTACAAAGAGCCTTCTCTTAGGTCAAATGGTCAGCACCTGTGTGCTCGGTTAAGCCGCAATTTAGGACATTTTCAATACCCGTTTTCCCAAAAAGAGCCTGATATCACACCTTTTAGTAGCCCATCTTTCTTTCCTATAATTATCACCCTCTCCAGGTGGTCTTTGGAAAACCTAGCCCTCTGGAGCACAGGAAATGTGTCCGGGTCACTAACACTTTAGGGGGGATTCCCCTGAAAGGAAAATCCCTCTTCCTTTCCCAGTTGAGAGCATTTTAGGAGTTAAATAGTATAGGAATTAGGCCCCTGTAAAAGGCAGTAAATAATAAGGGGTGGGGCAATGTCTCTCTACCTTTTCTTAACTTGGCCCCTTTTAGTAAACCTAAGAATCTCAGCCAGGCAAAGTGGCTCACACCTGTAATCCTAGCACTTTGGGAGGCCAAGGTGGGAGAATTGCTTAAGCCCCAGAGATCGAGACCAGCCTAGGCAGCGTAGCAAGACCTCATCACTACAAAAATAAAAAATAAAAAAATTAGTTGAGCATGGTGGTGCATGCCTATAGTCCCAGCTATTCTGGAGGCTGAGGCAGAAGGATCACCTGAGCCCAAGAGATCAAGGCTGCAGTGAGCCATGATCATGCCACTACATTCCAGCCTGGGTGAGAACCTGTCTCCAAAAAAAAAAAAAAAAAAAAAAAAAACCTTTGAACAAGGACGAGGACAGATCCAGATTTCACAAGGCCTAAAGCAATTTTGGGAGCATTCTCTAAGAAAAAAAAAAATTGTAAGTATAAAATAAGAAAAGAAACTAGGCATGGTGGCTTATGCCTGTAATCCCAGCACTTTGGGAGGCCAAGGCTTGAAGACTGCCTGATTCCAGGGATTTGAGACCAACCTGGGCAACTTTGTGAGATCTTGTCTCTGCAATAAGTCAAAAAATTAGCAGGCATGGTGGTGTGTACCTGTAGTCCCAGCTATTTGGAAGGCTGAGGCAGAAGGATAGCCTGAGCCCAGCAGATTGAGGCTAAGGTGGCTGTGAGCATGCCACTGCACTCCAGCTTGACCAACAGAGTGAGACTCCAACTAAAAAAAAAAAAAAACTGAGAAAAGAAATTGAATATTATTTAAGATGAGAAAAAAAAATTTTTGAAAATGTTTAAAAATCCAGCAACTGGCGCAAACATCACAAAATCCAGACAGATAACCGAATAATTGTGTTAACATCTATGACACTTCCATGATACTTGTTTTCTACACTTTTTGGCTGCATACTCTTTAATTGTCTTTTAATATCACAGTTATTTTTTAATTTCATTATAGAAAGAATAAAGAACTATTCTATCTTTTCTCCTGTATGGCTGATCAGAATTTGTTTCAGATTATTGAAAAATTAGAAAACTTTTTTAATGTTCACAATTGATTATTGGTGATATGTAAATTGCCAGAGTTACAAAACTTGGGAAACCCTTTATCAAGTTTTCTTTGTGGCATTTCTGAGCATTTCAACTCTCCTTGTGGAATGAATAATCTAAATGCTCTTTGGATTGATGCTCATTATCTAGCTTGTCATTAATGTCCTTGTAGGAGTGAGATATGAATTCTATATCAGGCCTTACACTTTCTACAGTGATGCTCGATAAATCAACCCAGTGGGCAGGAGCACCTCTAAAGCCACTTCTATTCCAGAATGGCTAGCAATACGTTAACTGGACACTGAAGGGTCTATACACCATGTAAGCACATCCTTCTAAAACTAAACTAAATGTATCCCAAGTCAACTCCCCTTTAGTTAGAACAACAATAGCAACAACAACAAAAAGAAAAACTGTGGCTATACCAGTTCCACTCTACCCAAGGGGAAAATGACAGACAGGGGAGTTGGAAAAGAAAGAGACAACAGTCTCAACTGATTGTAGCTTTGTAATTTGAAACAGAACATGAGGGATTGGACTTAGTCCAAGTGCTGGCTGCCCAGCACTAGGGGAATCAGCCTCATATCTTGCTTCTTTCACTCAAGAACCCACTTTCCCAGTCCTCAGTCTCCCCTGGGCTCTCCACTAAGTATCTGCAATACACAGATGAGTAAGCCATGTCCTGTTCACAAAGAACTGTGGAAGACAATCACACAAACATAAATCACAAGACAGCATGATGACAGCTCTACAAGACAGCCTGAGAATGCTAGGAGAGACCCTGAAACCTTCACAGTCATTGAGCCTCTGCAGCGTGAAGGGCTAATCCATCTGTATTCTTAAATCTGAGACACCACTTATTCCTCGAAGGGTTCACCTAGATGGTCAGTGTTATTGAGGCCATGCACACAAAGCCCAGGCCTGGCCCTTGTAAGGAGGGCGTCTATATGCATCTTCATCGACTGACTCACGATGCTCTTATTTTGGTTTGTGGCCTGCTAAGCACCCAAACTGCTATGACCCCAGACTAGAATGGCAGTGGCCTCAGCCTTTCTCCAAAGCTCATATTCATGTGATCATTTAAGCTCTGTATACTCTCCAGCGACTTGGTCCCTCACCTCTGCCCTTCTCCGTCCCCCAACACAGATAGTATATTAATCAACTTAAAACAGAGTTGTTCTTAGGAAAGAAGTAGGTCAGGTCTGCAGACCCAAATCCTATCCAGTCTTTTTTACAAAATCTTGACTAAAAAAAAAAGTGAAATTGATATTGCAATAATTAAGAGCCAAATATGACTACCACTGGTGGCAGATAACATTTCACTTTCATTAAGCAGTATAAAATAGATGCGCGAATTCCCGACTGCCACCCTGACACACCAGGCTTTGCAAAATGAATCTTAAATTGCACTATGTCAGTCAGCGCTCAGGAGTTATCAGCATCATTTAATTAACTTTTTTTTTTTTTTTTGCAAAAACTAACACATTGGAATAAAATTTAAAAATGTAATCCCTATGCAAACCCATCACTAATGATGGCCCCCGGCAGAGGCCTGAGCTACATGTAAGCAGGAATCGGGGCATTAAACTCTCTTTGTCCCTTTCCTGAAGCCTCCCCCTCAACTGGAAGGAAGAGAGAGGTGGGGAGCTTCTTCCATGTTGGTCTAGAAGCCTCAAGAATGGGAGCAATTCTCCTTCCTTGAGACCCTCGTGTCCCTTTGTCTCCCTAATGTTAACTTTCAGCCACTTTCCTATTGAAATTCAATATATGTTTGCCCTTAAAATAAAAATTTTAAAAAGAAAACATTGACTAGTTCTCCAATAAGGACTGATCACTGGAGTCTTTGGCTACAATTGCAAGAGCATGTTATTACCTGTAAATTTAATTTGTGGATGTTATCGCAGTATTGGATGTCACCTGTGAGAAAGAATGCATATTTGGGGTCCCACACCAAGTGAGATGGAGAAAAGGAGGATGGCCTGGAGCAGGGATAGGAAATGGGTCAGTCTCTTGGAGTTCAACAGAGCCTTTGCCCAACTGCGAAAGAGTGTGGCCAGGGTCCTTCTCTTGAGTGGTATAATGATACTACTCTGTAATGTTCCAACGGAAATAGAGGGTACAAGTGTTACCATGCCCCTTTCCAGACCCAGGGCAGGCATTACAAAGGAGTCACAGTATCCTTGATAGCTGAATTTGAATTTGACTTTTAAAATCCTGCCACCACCACACTCCCAGCAGCCATTGCAAGTCAGTAGATGTTGGCACCCAAGATGAAACCCATTTGCCATCTCTTCATTAGTCGGAAGGCCTATTTCACCTGATGCCACCTGTGTCTCATGGCAGCCACATTGCTGATCAGAGAATTCATGCAGTTCTGTCCAGATTTTTCAATGTCTGGGAGGAATCCAAAATCAGGGGTTCTTCTCAAGTTACTGAGCCAAGAGCTGTCAATTACAGGGGAAAAAAGAAAAAGACTGCCTTTACTGGGCCCCTTTATACAAGAAACAAAAATGTTATGTTTGCTTTATCATCAATTCTTCAGCTAACTGTTTGTTCTTTTTTCCTTTCTGTTTTCTTTCTATAAAGAAATAAAGAGTTTAAACATAGGTAAGATGAAAAACTCTTTCCCATATAATTTGATATGGTTCGTTTGCTTCCTTGTGTTTGCTTTTTTGTTTTGTGCTTCTTGTGTAATGTTGTATATTTTTATGTACCAAATATAGTAACTTTTTATGTGCTAATTGTGTGTTGTGGATATGATAAGCTTTAGCAATTATGAAATGCAGTCAAAAAGCAACCAAATAAGCTGACAGTAATTAGAATTTCCGGGAGATGCAAGTGCAAGATAATGAACCCTCAGCGAACTTTTATCCTGACTGCTCAGTGCAGTCCATAATTGGGCTAAACAGTTGAGGCAAACTTCTGGCTTTTGTAAATGCTGGACTGGGTTCACAAAAGCTTTAATGAACTGGAAACGGGTCAAAAACTCATTTTCAACTCATTAATGATTTTTTCCCCCTAGATGTATGGTCATTCAAAAAAAAAAAGTTAATTGCCAATCTGCTGGTCAGAATGAGTCCAACAGTCAGATGCATTGAGAATTTTCATGGAGTTAAATCACTTTTGAGGCGTATGAAGGATGTAGGCCAAGTACTTTTTGTCTAAATGGCCTTGGTCATTTCATTGATCCAAGGTTATCATTTAAAACCTTACAGTCATAATTCACAGATAAAGCGTAAAACTCCCATAGATGTTCAAGCACACATATACTGCACTAAAATGGATGGAACATCAGTTTTCTTGAAGAAAAGTAACCTTATTTTTATTTGGAAGAGAAAAACCAAAGCAATTTATACCACTACTCAAAAGAATACTTTCCCTCACTCCTTGAAATGAAACATGGAGGGGGCTCCTTGGTGATATTAGGTCAAAATTAGACAAAGAGTAGGGTCACCTTGCACTAGATCATCATAGGAAAAAGTTCATACAGAGAAAAAGTCCTCTACCTTCTTCTTCTCAGGCACCCTAAAATTGGCTGGTTATAGACACCCCATTTGTGTCAAATTTTTAAAAGAAGCAGAAATGCCCCGGAAGGACATTTTCTGAGGAAACTCACATACCTCATTTGATCTTGGCCACAGCCAAAGTTGTAGAAGTATGTTTGTCCCTCTGGCCTGAGCATCTCTGCAAGAATCTTGATTGAAATAAATATGAGGCCATGGGGAAGAACAGTCATCCCAAGCAAGAACTGGCCTCCCGCCCCACTGCCTGCTCTTCCGCCAGAGACTTTGAAAAGTCTCCTTGAATCAGGCTCCCTAGAAAGTCCAAAATTAATTATCTCACTCATAGATAGGCACAGATGTGCAATGTCTTGATCCTTCTGTTGATCTTGCCAGCTCCTGTTCGTTCAGTAACAGAGTGCAGCATCTAATTAAGAAATGGCATGAATTTTTCCCTTTCTGCCCTAATTTGTTTTGCATATATAGATATTCTCTAATGACTTAATAGCCAAAAAAGAAGAAAGGAAAAATCAGGAAGGAAAGAAAAGGAATCAGGTAGTCTACTCTTCCAAACTAGTTACCTGGGCTGGCATTTTAAAAAGACCTTGAATTCTATCTAGTTCAATTATGTGTCTTAATAGCAACCTGAGGAGAAGCTGGAATTAAAGATGGTCTCAACTTACAAATTGTTCCTAAAAATAGCTTCTTAGTTCTTGTTTTCCTAAAATCAGGGAAGAACCCCAATGGTAGTGTTTGAATTAGTAATTTGCCAGCTAATGTCTACAGGACAAATGCATCCAGCATTATCATCACCCTCACCTTCCCCTCACCTCTCTCAGGCCCTCCCCTCCCATCGTTCCAAAGCACAATCGAAAAGTAGCAGGGGAAAAAAAAGGACTGTGCTCATTTTAGGCCTGTGGTACCAAAACCTGCTCTTCCACATTGGGGCAGAGAGGCAAATACTGTTTGCATCCTAGAGGTGGTGATTTTTACAACCAGTGTAAGGATTGCATGAGTACCCATCTGGTCCCAACCTCCAATGAGTGGCAGACACTACAAAGGGAAGAACCACAGGATTTTGACCCAGAAGGAGCATTCTTGATGATCCCATTTGATTTCTTCATCTCTCAAATAAGAAAGCTAGGACCCAATACAGCCAAATGACTTACCACACTGAGTAACAGTAAAGAAGCCCTGAGGCTGGGCATTGGGGGTGGCTCTGGGGAGCTTCCCATCGAAGATTTAGGAAAACTCCAGGTTACCCCAGGATTCATGATGTAGTAGCTTGGCGGCATTGAGGAGGCATAGATTAACAGGAGAACATTTTCTTATGGAAATGTTCCTCCACCTCCCAACTTGAGAAAATACTAAGCCCCTGGGGGGAAGCAAAAGTGGTTGGTCTTGAACAGCTATCCTGCTCATAGGCACAGGACTGGAGTGGGCTCTCACATTCTAGCTAAATGAAGCAACAGTCGTTCTGCATGATGGGAAACGATGAATTCTAGTATAGCTAAGAGGAACCGGAGTCCAGTTAGAAGTAGCTAAGAGCCATGATGTGTTAGAACACCGAGTGTGATGTTAGATTCTTTCCAGTTCACTAAAGTAGAAAGACATTAGAGAAGGTGAGAGTCTCACTAGGGCTTTTGTCACAGGAGCCCAGCTGCACAGCCCCCTCCTCATTTCTCTTTGTGCTTCTTCTACCAAAGCAACAACCCGGCGCACAAGTACTACTTGGCCGTGGACCCCGTGTCCGGCTCGCTGTACGTGTCTGACACCAACAGTCGCAGGATCTACCGTGTCAAGTCTCTGAGCGGAGCCAAAGACCTGGCCGGGAATTCCGAAGTGGTGGCAGGGACCGGAGAGCAGTGTTTGCCCTTTGATGAAGCCCGCTGTGGGGATGGAGGGAAGGCGATCGATGCGACCCTGATGAGCCCACGAGGTAAAGACCGCCAAGGAAATGTCCCCCACCCCAGAGAGAGCTTGCCACCACCTTGGCTTTCTTCTCATTGGAGCTACACTAAGCCCAACAGTCCAAAACACAGCCGTCCCTACATTGAACGCATAGAGATTGCTTTGGGTGTGTGGATGGGTGATTAAAAAGAAAAGAAAAAACGTATTTACTTATGAATCCAAAGTAAACTTTCTCATCCACCTATGCTACAAATGGAAAGTGGAATGGATTGGGCCTGGAGGTTTCTGACTGCTGCCAGTCACGGGCAGTCAGAGGAAATGTGAGCCCAATGGCCCTAGAGCCAGTTGCATGGGTTGGAGGTAGAACAACATCCAGCGAGAGGTCTCTGGTCACTCCCAGACTTTCAAGTTAGGCAATAATGTATATAAAGTCCAAAGCACAGTATCTGACATGTTGTAAATGCTCAATAAATGATAGTAGTTAAGAATGAGATGGATGCCAGGCTCGGTGGCTCAGCCTGTAATCCCGCGCTTTGGGAGGCTGAGGTGAGTGGATGGCCTGAGCCCACGGGTTCGAGACACACCTGGGCAACTTGGTGAGACCTCATCTCTACAATAAAATTAAAAATTAGCTGGGCCTGGTAGCGCGCGCCTGTAGTTCCAGCTACTTGGAAGGCTGAGGCAGAAGAATCTCCAGAGCCCAGCAGGTCGAGGCTGCGGTGGCCGGGAGCGGCCACTGCACTCCAGTCTGGGCGACAGAGTGAGACTCCAACTCAAAAAAAAAAAAAAAAATGAATGAGATGGCCAGGCTCGGTGGCTCAGCCTGTAATCCCAGCACTTTGGGAGGCAGAGGCAAGTGAATTGCCTGAGCCTGCAGGTTCAAGACCAGCCTGGGCAACTTGGCGAGACTTCATCTCTGCAAAATTTTTAAAAATTAGCCAGTGTGGTAGCGTGCGCCTGTAGTTCTGGCTACTTGGAAGACTGAAGCGGAAGGATCGCCTAAGCCCAGTAGGGTGACGCTGGAGTGACCATGAGTGTGCCACAGCACTCCAGCCTGGGTGACAGAGTGAGGCTCCAACTCAAAAAATAAAAAAAGAATGGAGGCCAGCATGATGGCTCATGCCTGTAATCTCAGCACTTTGAGAGGCCAAGGAAGGAGAATTGCTTGAGCCCAGGAATTCAAGATGAACCTGGGCAGCATAGCAAGACTTCACCTCTACAAAATGTCAAAAAAATTAGCCAGGCATGGTGGTGCATGCCTGTAGTCCCAGTTACTCAGGAGATGGAGAAGGGAAGATCACTTGAGCCCAGGATTCTGAGGCTGCAGTGAACTGTGATTGTGCCAATGCACTCCAGTCTGGGTGACAGCGTGAAAACTAAACAATAAAAAGATAAATATAATATCCAGGGGTCGCCCAGCTTGGTGGCTCACGTCTATAATCCCAGCACTTTGGGAGTCCAAGGTGAGAAGATTGCCTGAGCCCACAGGTTCTAGACAAGCCTGAGCAACTTGGTGAGACCTCATCTCTACAATAAATCAAAAAATTAGCCAGGTGTGGTGGCGCATGCCTGTAGTTCCAGCTACTTGGAAGGCTGAGGCAGAAGGATCACCTGAGCCCAGCAGGTCGAGGCTGCAGTGGCCGTGAGCATGCCACTGCACTCCAGTCTGGGTGACAGAGTGAGAGACTCCAACTTAAAAAAAAAAAAAATCCAGGGGTCGAGGATGGAGGAACCTATGGATCTCTATTTGAAAATTACTGAAAGGCTAGATGTGGTGGCTCACACCTATAATCCCAGCACTTTGGGAGGCCAAGGTGGGAGTATTGCTTGAGGCCAGGAGTTTGAGATCATCCTGGGCAATATAGTGAAACCTCATCTCTACAAAAAAATCCAAAAAATCAGCTGGGCATTATAGTGCGTGCCTATAGTCCCAGCTACTCGGGAGGATGAAGCAGAAGAATCACCTGAGCCCAGGAAGTTGAGGCTGCTATGAGTTGTGATCAGGCCACTGCATTCCAACATGGGTGACAGAATGAGAACCCAATTTTAAAAAAAGTCAAACGGAAATGACTAAAAATACTTAAGGCTAAGGAGCAATCATTTGAGATCCCAATTCCTGTAAGCATTTTTAGCTACCATAAAAGCAGTGGGCAGCATGGATTAAAGCGGCCAAGACTTGTACTTGGGCAGACGGGAAAAAAAAATAGAGGACACTGGTTTCAGCAGGGAATGCTATGTCCCCCCAGGGAATTGAATTGCTGGTTGGAGTCAGGGCTTAATTGGGATGTTCCTGGAGAATACACTTTGAATTATCAGTCTGTGACTGCAAGAACCATTGTTTCTCAACCATATTATTACAATCAGTTGAGAAGGGTATCCAAGTAATTTGCTAATAATTTTTAGAGCAAGGACCTTTGGAAATAACTTGGTTTTTTTTGTTGTTTTTTTTTTGAGTTAGAGTCTCATTCTGTTGCCCAGGCTAGTGTGCAGCAGCACGCTCACGGCCACCTCAGCCTCGACCTGCTGGGCTCAATCGATCCTTCTGCCTCAGCCTCCCAAGTAGCTGGAACTAAAGGTGTGCACCACCACACCACCACGCCCAGCTAAATTTTTTATTTATTGTAGAGACAAGGTGTCGCCAAGTTGCCCTGGCTGTTCTCGAACCCCTAGGCTCAGGCAATCCTCTCACCTCTGCCTCCCAAAGTGCTGGGATTACAGGCATGAGCTACCATGCCTGACTGAAAATAACTTCTAAAGCAAGCAGATGTGAGGCTATTTCCTCACTCATTCATTCACTCGCAGCCTGGGTTCATTTGTGGCCAGAGGTACTTTCTTAAGTAGGAGGGAGGTGAATGGGGATACAGTTGGCACCCCCATGGACTCCACAAATCCCAGCATTTCTCTCGGGCAGAGAGAATGGGTCTTGCCTTAAAAGGCTGAGAACCACTGCTCGGAGCGTGCTAACCCACCCCACTGAGGTCCTTGGTCTAAGCAAGGTGTGCCTGGCAAGGCACTCCCTGCCCCCCAGCCCATGAGACCTACTCCATTCCAAGCGATATCTCACACCACTTGTCTTGTCCAGGTATTGCCGTAGACAAGAATGGGCTCATGTATTTTGTCGACGCCACCATGATCCGGAAGGTGGACCAGAACGGAATCATCTCCACCCTACTGGGCTCCAATGACCTCACTGCTGTCCGGCCACTGAGCTGTGATTCCAGCATGGACGTAGCCCAGGTGGGACTCTCTCTTCTTATCACTGAGCAACACCTGCTTCTTGACCTGAAGTCCTCACCAACTTCCTGTTTGGTTGGAAGTGGAATGAGAGGGAAGAGGTGGAGATGCAGATCACAGGTTTGTTTGGAGAAGGTCTGAGATGCACGAGACAGAAAGATAGAATGGAAGATGTCAGGAGTAAGAGAGAGAGAGAGAGAGATTCTGTTCAAAGACAAGCTGGTGACACACTCCAGCCGTGGCAGATTACAGGGTGGAAGTTGCTGTGTAATTACCTTCCTTCTCCATCATTATTACAGGTTTGAGAATGTACCATACCGGGTTCAATGTCAATCCAAACTTCCCTGTTAATCGGAAATGATTGCATCCTCACTGTATAAACCTTTACTTTGTGCAGTAGTAACTAGAGAAGAGCCCTCTGCAGTAGCCCCCAGAGTGCGTGTTTAGTCTGAGCCCTTTCGAAGGCAGAGAACAGAGGCTTGCTCAGACATACAGCATTTGTTCTCAAACAGCCTGGCACACACGTTCACCCTTTCTATAACGGCCTTTTCAACCCTTTGGCCAACCTCATAAATTTCAGCTCAAATTCTACAACAAACTGACAACTTGCAACTGAGATTTTTGTTTCAAATTCCACAGAGGAAAAAAATGTGTTCAGTTCATTTTTTTTCAAGCAAACACTCAAAGTTGTAGTTTGCTGACCAGCCTGCACTTTGACTTTGACTGTCCTTGGGTGAAGGCAACCTTCCAAGCCACGTGGCTTCTTTTTGTGAATTAAAAAAGGTACCTCCTCTAAATGAATATAGACTCCTCAAAGCCTCAATTTGAGGAGCAGGGTGTGAGATGAATTGCACTGGTTTCTTGTGCAGTGAACTACCTGTGCAACCATCTATGATAGCTCTGACTCTGGTTCAATCATCTGGGGCTACCAAGAATCATAGGTTGAGCTGGTGGTCTGTTCTAATCATGGCAGATGACATAAAAGGAGACATTTTTTTTTACATGGTCTCTTCATTGTGTACGCTTAGCATGGGCAATGGGCAACTGGTTCCATGATGAACATTTCTAATACAGTATGTTCGTGTCTTAGTCCATTTTGCATTACTATAAAAGAATACCTAGGCTGGGCAACATAGCAAGAACTCGTCTCCACAGAAAATAAAGATAAATTAGCTGGGCATGGTGGCGCATGCCTATAGTCCCAGCTGTTCAGGAGGCTGAGGCAGGAGGATCTTTTGAGCCCAGGAGGTCGAGGCTGTGTTGAGCCGTGATTGTGGCACTGTACCCCAGCCTGGGCAAAAACATAATAATAAAAATAAAGGAATACCTGAGGCTGGGTTATTTATAAAGAAGTGAGGTTTATTTGGAAGGCCAAGGGAGTCTCTCCCTCCCCCTCCTCCTCCCCCCTCCCCTCCCCACTCCTTCTCCTCTCAGGCAAGAGAGGGAACAAGAGAGAGGAAGAGAAAAGGGAGGAAGGTGCCAGGTTCTTTTTGACAAATTGGTTCTCTTGGAAACTAATAGAGCCAGAATTCACGGCATCCATCCCCGTGACCCAAACACCTCCCACCAGGCCCCACCACCAACACTGCAGATCAGATTTCTGGAGGAGATTTGGAAGAGACTAACATCCAAAGTATATCAGTTAGTAAAAGGCGAAGTCTTTCTTCCTAGATGCATAAAGCCAGCATAAGTGAACGTATTAAGGCCCGTTCTCTAATCCAATACCACGTCATCCACAGGTTCGCCTGGAATGGCCAACAGACCTTGCCGTCAACCCCATGGATAACTCCCTGTATGTTCTAGAGAACAACGTCATCCTGCGGATCACTGAGAACCACCAAGTCAGCATCATTGCGGGACGCCCCATGCACTGCCAGGTTCCTGGCATTGACTACTCGCTTAGCAAACTAGCCATTCACTCTGCTCTGGAGTCAGCCAGTGCCATTGCCATCTCTCACACTGGGGTCCTCTACATCACCGAGACGGATGAGAAGAAGATCAACCGTCTACGCCAGGTAACAACCAATGGGGAGATCTGCCTTTTAGCTGGGGCAGCCTCAGACTGCGACTGCAAGAACGATGTCAATTGCAACTGCTACTCAGGAGATGATGCCTACGCGACGGACGCCATCTTGAATTCCCCATCATCCTTAGCTGTAGCTCCAGACGGCACCATCTACATCGCAGACCTTGGAAATATTCGGATCAGGGCTGTCAGCAAGAACAAGCCCGTTCTTAATGCCTTCAATCAGTATGAGGCTGCATCCCCCGGAGAGCAGGAGTTGTACGTCTTCAACGCCGATGGCATCCACCAGTATACCGTGAGCCTGGTGACAGGGGAGTACTTATACAATTTCACTTATAGCGCCGACAATGATGTCACTGAATTGATTGACAATAATGGCAATTCCCTGAAGATACGTCGGGACAGCAGTGGCATGCCCCGTCATCTGCTCATGCCCGACAATCAGATCATCACCCTCACTGTGGGCACCAACGGAGGCCTCAAGGTCGTGTCCACACAGAATCTGGAGCTTGGCCTCATGACCTATGACGGGAACACTGGGCTCCTAGCCACCAAGAGTGACGAAACAGGATGGACGACTTTCTACGAGTAAGTGGGTTTGTAAAGTATCTCTGAAGAGTACGTACCCTGTCCCGGCTGGCTTCAGGATTGGCTGTTCATGTAGCGTTTTAAATTGCTTAGTCACGTTGTCTTCCTAACTTTAATGATTTCTTAGGGCCTCATCCCCTCCTCCTTACTCTTAAATGATCTGCTTTATTGGGGCTCTGATACTGAGCATCCTCCCGACGAGAGTTGGGAATTCCTGTTGCCTGCTTGCCGTTCAAATTTCAGGATATTGGACACGCACAGCACCTGGGAGATAAAGTGTTGATTAACTTTGCTGATTATTCATGTTTGCCATGGGTGCGGAAATTAGAACCTAAAAGGCAAGATCCCAGTGGGGCTCCTGTAATTTGCCAATAGGTCCAGCAACACACTTGATTGCACAGACAGGTAGATAAACTCTGAATTTCCTCTTTAGCAGAAGCAGATCGATACAGATAAAGTGCTAGGTATATTAAAAGATGCAAGAGCTGGTCATATTTCCCCTAACAATTATCTCATACTTAATAGTCCTCTCTCTTGTTTTGCCAAGAGCTGTTTTCCCTAGCTCCTGTGGGCAGCTCTTGGTCACATTGCCTGCTGCAGCAGGTATGAACCAGCGGGATGCTGGTTGAGGAAGTTGCTAAGGCATGGGTCCCCCAGTGGCTGACTGAGACTGGAAGGGAATTTACAAGCATCTGACTCTCCTAGGTGGTGACGAGCATGTTAACCCCTGTGCACTTGGGGTCCTTGTTTGCTTTCTGTCTGGATGTTGCTGCTAGCTGAGAATTTAGTAAGTTAGGGTTGGCTTGTCACAGAGAGAAAAGAGGATGAGAGAGAACAGAAAACCTCATTGTTAATCACTCCCTAATCCAGGAATGTTCACTTCCTGTTTGTAATCCAATGGGTTTAGAAGGATATTAAAGGAAGCTGTTGCCACCTGCTGGAGATTGACTGCATTGCAGAATTGCTTTGCTTGGTTCTGGCTTTCTTCTTGGGCAAAGCTGTCCTTCTAGGACTTCAGAAGCATCTTCGCACTGTTCAGGGCACGGAGACGTCATTAAACTTCACCAGCCAGTGGTTCTGCTCTTGAGGGTACCATGTAAGGGCTGTCTTTGGCTCTCACACCAAGTTAGGTGTGATACATCACACCAAGTTAAGTGATACATTAACCCAAACACCCTCTGCTTCTTCCCGTCCTGCATTTTGACCTAATGACCCAATGCGTTTCAGAAATAATTTGTTGGCTTTCCTGAATGAGGGGGGAAATGTCACTCTCGCGGACGCCAGCCTGACCTGGGGTTGACATAGAGTCTGTGGAAAAGAGACCCAGAGCCAGGCGTGGTGGTTCACACCTATAATCCCAGCACTTTGGGAGGCTGAGACGGGAGGATCACTTTAACTCAGGAGTTCAGGACCAGTGTGGGCAGCATAGCAAGACCTCATCTCTACAAAGAAAAGTAAATAAATACGTAAATAAATAAATAAGAGGTTCAGGTTTAAGTGCATCCACAGACATGAACTCTGAATGGGCAAACATTTTTTCAGGGAGCAGTCCCTAGTTTAATGAAAACATAGGCGTGACATAAATTTGTTTTAATGTGTTTGTTCAGAAGTTACATTGAAACTGAATAATTTTTCTTCTGTCTTAATTTGATGAGCTGCTTTTTTTTTCATAATGTGGGTAAATCCTATAATGACAAATTCTCCATCATGGGAGTTCAAATGTATAAGGTTTTCTTTTCCCTCCTAAAAAGAGTTATTTTTGTTTTCTAGCACTTGTTGCACTTGGTCAGCAAATTGGGAGTTTAAGAATCAGACACAGACTCTGCAGCCTGTCAGGCGGTGGGTTCAAGACCAATACTGCATGGCCTTAGCCAAATCTTTAGAGAGAGGAGTTCAGAGTGATGGGGAGACCACAGAGTCCTCACTTCTGCTGGAAAACAGTCTGTCCTGCAATGTGTCTCTCCCCTACCCTGTTACAAGAGAGGGGATGTAAATCCCCCCTAGGAGGAAATAGTAGCCATGCTCTCTCTCTGCACAGAACTTTCTAGTTATGGAAACCATTTTTCTACTGGGTTTTCACAATGACACTCTAAATAGAGGTTTGAGTACTCCCATTTTATGGATAAAGAAACTGAGGTTCAGAGAAGTGAAGTGACTCCCCTGAGGCCACACAGGGATTCAGTAGGAAAGCAGAACTGGAATCCAGATCTCCGTTAATCTTTTTTATTTATTTATTTATTTTTTTTTTTAATTTAATCGATATTTTTAATCTTGATATTGTGGGGTACAGTTAAGGGTTAGGTATACAAATATGCTTCATTCAGGCCCCCTTGTTGATAACTGGTGTC